ACACATACCTGTTAACTGCAAATGCTACCTCTGCCCACTCACGTGTCTGAGAGAAAAGAGATCAGGGACTCAGTTTCTAGAGAAAGGCTCTCCAGCATTTGCTGGAACTGTAAAATAGGCACTCCTGAAAACTCTGATGGGAGTTAAAGAAAAACATTTTCCTATTTTTAAATAAGAGGTAAGAATCCTTCTCGCAATCAATCTATCTAGTTCAATGTGTATTCAGGATTTCTTAGTCCAGACTTTATTGTATTTTAGCGCCTTCCTAGCTGTTTTTCATTATCTCGGCAATTTCCCACTGTTGGGATTTTAAGTTAGAGGAATTTTTCTTTTGTTTGCTTGGTTTGATGAAAGTTCAACTATAATCTATTTATCTTAGAATTAAAAAATATTTCTGTAAAAAATAAATGCGTCAGAGACTTGAATAAGTTCCTATAAAGCTCAGTGTCCCCTGAATAGGATATAAGGGGTGTCCTTAAGTTTCTAGACTTAATTACCTGATATACAGAAAAAAAGTAGTGTCTAACATTGATTTGGATTGAGTATATACTTGAGAATCCTCTTGCAATTCCTCAGTCATTTCTGTGACTTTCTAAGCAGGGAAAAAAATCACTAAAACTGAAGAAATGCTTTAATTCTTCACAGTTGATGTTTCCTCATCTTACCTTTTGTGGCCTTCCTCTGGTCTGTTTCTAGCCTCTAACTTTTCCCTGTGGTAAGCAGTGTTCATCTCATTGCGGAGCCGGTCATTTTCCCGAGCAATGTCAGAAGCATTTTGAATGACCAAGGCATCGTATGTTTTCAATCCCATATCCTCAGCGTTCTGCAAGAAGCTTTTGATTGAGGTGACCTCTTGCTGTTTGATGCTCATCTTCTGTAGCAAGCGCTGGCGAGCTAGAAATCCTCTTACAACTACCATAATAGAAGGAAAAATTATGGACCAAAGAAAGACAACTAATTAGTGAATAACTTAATATTACTGTTTGTTCTGCTGTAGACATGAGCAAATAAATTCAGTCAACATCTTACACAAAGAACAAAAGAAATGTGACGGCATATAAACAACATACTAAAATGGAACTCTTTCTGTTTTCTACTGTCAGTGCTTAAAACAAAGTAGTGATAGTAAACTCTTTCATAAATTTGAGTTTATTTATGTTTACTTTCACTGAACATAATTTTTTATTACATTACAACTGGAAACTTAGATGTATGCTACAGATTGTGAAAGCATACATTTACACTGCAAAGGTCAAAAGATCACTTGTTTCAAAATAAAACCCTGAATAAATGCTTGTTGCATTGAATGCAGTAAGAATTAAATGTTCGTTTGCGAATCCTTCTCGCAATCAATCTATCTAGTTCAATGTGTATTCAGGATTTCTTAGTCCAGACTTTATTGTATTTTAGCGCCTTCCTAGCTGTTTTTCATTATCTCGGCAATTTCCCACTGTTGGGATTTTAAGTTAGAGGAATTTTTCTTTTGTTTGCTTGGTTTGATGAAAGTTCAACTATAATCTATTTATCTTAGAATTAAAAAATATTTCTGTAAAAAATAAATGCGTCAGAGACTTGAATAAGTTCCTATAAAGCTCAGTGTCCCCTGAATAGGATATAAGGGGTGTCCTTAAGTTTCTAGACTTAATTACCTGATATACAGAAAAAAAGTAGTGTCTAACATTGATTTGGATTGAGTATATACTTGAGAATCCTCTTGCAATTCCTCAGTCATTTCTGTGACTTTCTAAGCAGGGAAAAAAATCACTAAAACTGAAGAAATGCTTTAATTCTTCACAGTTGATGTTTCCTCATCTTACCTTTTGTGGCCTTCCTCTGGTCTGTTTCTAGCCTCTAACTTTTCCCTGTGGTAAGCAGTGTTCATCTCATTGCGGAGCCGGTCATTTTCCCGAGCAATGTCAGAAGCATTTTGAATGACCAAGGCATCGTATGTTTTCAATCCCATATCCTCAGCGTTCTGCAAGAAGCTTTTGATTGAGGTGACCTCTTGCTGTTTGATGCTCATCTTCTGTAGCAAGCGCTGGCGAGCTAGAAATCCTCTTACAACTACCATAATAGAAGGAAAAATTATGGACCAAAGAAAGACAACTAATTAGTGAATAACTTAATATTACTGTTTGTTCTGCTGTAGACATGAGCAAATAAATTCAGTCAACATCTTACACAAAGAACAAAAGAAATGTGACGGCATATAAACAACATACTAAAATGGAACTCTTTCTGTTTTCTACTGTCAGTGCTTAAAACAAAGTAGTGATAGTAAACTCTTTCATAAATTTGAGTTTATTTATGTTTACTTTCACTGAACATAATTTTTTATTACATTACAACTGGAAACTTAGATGTATGCTACAGATTGTGAAAGCATACATTTACACTGCAAAGGTCAAAAGATCACTTGTTTCAAAATAAAACCCTGAATAAATGCTTGTTGCATTGAATGCAGTAAGAATTAAATGTTCGTTTGCTTTTGATCAACTTAAAAAATGCTTTAAATATTTTGGTGTACCTAAAAAAAATCAAAACTTAAGGAGTTTTGAGACTTAAAGACCTTTTGTTGCTCATTTTCTTTCAGCAAAAACAATTAGATTAATTTAATGCAAATTTCTCAAATGTATCTGTCACATCATGTCTGCATCTTTCAGTTTAAAATTTTCATCTGCATTGCATCAGCTTTATGTATCTATTAGGCCTATTTTTCACACTCTTTGTCAGCCTTATGTTTGGAGAAGATTTTGGTGTATCTCCTATAACGGCTTTCTGTACTACTTTCCTAAGTATGTACATTCATTACACTAAATTCTATTCAACCTAAATACCACCTAGTCCCCTCAATTTTCAGAAGTACCCAGCTGACCACACAAGGCACAGGGACCTCTGTGGCCATGATTAACTTCGGCACCAAATTAATCACTCCATCTGCAACAAGGTGGTATCAGTATTCTCTGAGCTTATATTTTGGCTTAGAAGGAAGAGACAGGCTAACTAAAGGTGCTTTATTTGTGGTTTGTTTTTTTTAAGTTCCACAAGATCCTGATTCTTTCCAGATCTGGAATAACTGTTGTGTACCTCACAGGGAAGAACCTGTTCTAGAATTATTCACCTGTTGCCTGAAATATTGTTGGTTTTCAGTACATCAACTTACATGTATCAAAAATAGGTTGAACTTCATCATTGCTTATTATGGTTACTCTCATTCTGGTCACTGAAAGTTTTTTATAACTGAAGTTAGCAGGCAATAGCCTGTATAAGATGTTGGTTTGAGTTTTGGGGAAAAAAACCTGAAAATGTTAATATTAAAGACTGGAAGGTAAAAAAATGCTAAAATGCATTAGACCTTTTTAACAATGTAATTAAATTTCAGTCTTAGGAACACTGCTGAACAACATCAAATGACAAAGAGTCAAGCTGAATTAATCTAAAGGAAAAATGTAAACAGAGAAGGATATAATTAGCCTTCTATGAATGTAAAATGTTATTAAATAAAATAAACAACTAAAACAGAGGACAATGTACAGTATTTTCTACCACCTTCTATGTCCTTGTTTAAATATTTAAAATAAGATTTTTTTTAGAGATGCTCAGTGCCCAGCTGATGAAATGTATGAAAGGTTAATGTTAACATGCTAATACTGTTCCTATCCAAAATTCACCGGGTTTGGAAACATTCAAGTTCAGGTACTTTGAGATTATTCATAATGGACAACTTTGAAGGTTTACATTTTTATAATCACAGCCAGCCATGCCATTTTCAACCCCTTTGGTTACATTCTATAAAATCTGACTTTAAACCCTGAAACATTAATGCACTTACCCAATTTAGTTGAAAAGGAAATTAGTAGTACAGCTATTTGTTGACAATTTTTTGAGAGTATTCACATTGGATATACAAGTTACTGAGTCTGAATTCATAACGTTGCTGTTGCAAAGGTAATGAATACATGTGTAGAACATTATCAGAGTTCACTGCTCACAAATATGAAAAACTCAGAAGAGCATAATAATCAAAAATTGTTCCCTCACTTCCGATATTTTCTTTAAACTTATCTGCTGCAGAGCAGATAGGGTATTTGACAAATGGTTAAGCATCAAATCCTGGATGACTTTGGAAGAAAACCTGTATTTTAAAGTAACATTTTTACAAGTGTGTGTGTATGTGTGTGTTTTTACCTTGACAAAAAAAAAAAGGGTCGGTAACACCACTAAGGTCGATTAGGAACAGGAAAAACAGAGGTCAGTCCTCTGGTAGGATTGTTAGCAGGCATGAACGATGCAGAGTAGCCTGCTAGGATGGTCCAGTAAGATGATATCCAGTACAGATAGCTGTAGCATTTAAAGACTGTACAGCTACTCTGAACTATGCACTTTCATCAAAATTGAGATGTTTTGAAGAAACATTCAACAAAGTTTTGTCAGGAAGGGTTGGCAGACAGACACTCCTGTTTTCTTTCGCACACATTTTCATGAACTGAGTAGCTCAGGTTTTCATTAGAAGATGGACATTTCGCTGCATCTCCTTCTCTATGAGAACATTTGAAAGATTTTGTCTTCAGTTCAACAGGGAACAAAAAAAAAAATTCATAATCTCAAAAACTGCTGTGAAATGAAATTGTCATCTCCTAGACCTTTACAGCTCAGTTTCATCTACTACTGTACGGGTACTAAGATTGTCTTCTGAACTTGCTCCTCATTTATGTAGATCTAAAATAATTCTCACTTATGCAAATTAAAATAATTGGGGTTAGCACCCACAGGGCAGGAAAATATCTACTTCTTTACAGTTCATCTAAGGATAAGGATCAGAATAATCAAAATTCAAGTAGACCCTAGTTCTGGGTTATGTGAGAAATGTATTGACTCTTGTGTATACAATGTATTAAAGCTAATTCCTAATTCACATGAACTCTGATGGAAGAACTTCAGCATGATGGACTTTCCTACAGGTACAAACAATTTTCTCAGTGATTCAATAAGATCAAAACTTCCCATATATAGTTCTCATACCTGTGAAAAAAATATGATAAAGTCCCTAAACTCACATATTCATTTTTAAATAAAAAGTGTTTCTTAGTTTGACCCCTTTCTTTTTCTGTGCAAGTTAACTTTCAGGATAACAGAAAAAGACTTATCTGGTTTATTTTGTTTTGTTTTTCCCCAAATTTATGGGAATGCTGAAAGGATTGCTAGTAAGACTGAGGTAAAAACAGTTGATAAGAATTTTGGGCAAGACCTGTTTTCCCTTTGAGTTAAGTCCTCTTTTGGGTATATGACATTACATTTTAAGCCTGATACAGAAATTATTGACTAGTTTGGCTATTAGTCAATATGGTGTCAAGAGAGATTTAGCTTCCAAAGTCCTCTGGATGCAAAGGATGAGGGGAGAAAAATGTGGATATGCAGCAGGACTGATACCATTACTCACTAAGCATCACCATCCCAGTGTAAAAGTCTATGGATTCCAATTTTAGGATTACATAAGAACAGTGCACAGTTACCCTATCCCATTCCCAACCTGCCAGAATTCTTTGGCATGCTAATTCTGCAAGTTTACAATTGTACCTGTTTGCAAAGGGCAGCTTATTTCATGAGCTAACGTCGTGAAATGGATGTCTAGCTACTCCTTACTCATGCAAGTTCCGGATTTTCTCAGGTTTTCCAGACCATAAAAAACATGCAGATGAGCCATAGCTTTGAAAAAAGCTTTGAACACATAGTTTTGGCGAAAATAACTTTTCAAGTTAGCCTAATTAAGGAGGGCTAGAAGCAAAAACAAAATAAATATTTTTGTAAGGAGCCAAGAAGACCTATTATCTTCATTCTTCAGGCAGGGTTTGGCAGATGTCTGTTGTCTTACCTCTGCAAAATATGGGCGTATCTAAGGATGTTTTACATTTCGGTGTAGGGTTATATTAAAGCACTCTGTTTGCAAATCGGACTCTGAAAGGTAAATATTTCCTTTCTTTGATAAGTC